TATTAATTTCTCTCACATATTACTAGTTAATTTTTAATAATTAGTTCAGTGGTGGCGAACCTACGGCACGTGTGCCAGAGGCAGCATTTAGAGCCCTCTCTGTGGGCATGCGCGCCGCCAGCAGCTTGCGCAGGTCCATTAGGCCACCACCGCCGCCCGGAGCAGCAGCCCCACCCAGCACAAAGGAGGCGAAGCGACCAGCTAGCAAACTCAAGTAGAGGTGGTAGAGCATGCCCACACCCAGCAAGCCAAAGGCCAACCTGAGCACGGAAAGACGGATCCCCATCAGTGCCATGGTCCCCCAGTCCCCAGCTAGGATTGTGTGCTCCCCCATCTATGCTGGGCCTCCTGCCCACTGCCCCACCTGTCAGAGATCCCCTGGATCTCCCCCAACCCTGCCCAGCACCCACAGGCATCCCCTCCATGAGCAACATCAAGATGGCCATGCCTACTCCAGCCACGCCCATTCAGTCTGCCATGAGAACAGCAGCCATGCTCACCCAGTGGGCCACGCCCCCATGCCCCCCTGAGGGCACCACAATGCTGATGCGGTTCTGGCACTTTACGATAAATAAGTTTTATGTTGTGGTTTGGGCACTCGGTCTCTAAAAGGTTCTCCATCACTGATGTAGTTGAACATAATATTTCTTATTTCAATTTTCCAAGATTATCTGTATATACAGCAGGAGGCCAATATTACTAAAACTATAGGAGCTATTTTTTTAATGAAACAATGGTCACTTGATTGTCTCTGATATTAAAATATATAAGCAAAGGATACTTCTTCTATGCTGTATAAAGCCTCTACAAGTTTATTAAATTCCTAGAGAATAAGCTAAAGAAGATTTGGAACTTTACCTTAGTAAACATAGATATATGTATACTGAGCTGGACATATTGCATTAAGAACACAAATCTGCTTCTTACCAATTATATCAGTATCAACTGAATTGTTTGTGAACTGAATGAGATTCAATTTTAGAAACAGAATTAGAAACACAGAATTGGAAGGGACCTTGGAGGTTTTCTTGTCCAACTCCCTTCTCAAAGCAAAAATCTTTATTCCTTTCTGGAGAAATCCATCTCTTCTTGAAAATCTCCAGGAATGGAGCATCCACAGCTCTGGAAGGCAAGTTATTTATTTGATTAATTGTTCTCACTATTAAGAAATTTCTTAGTTCCAGGTTGGGTCTCCCTCTTACAGTCTTCTACCCAACTCCTTCTTGTCCTGGCCTCAGGTGCTTTGAAGAATAAATCAATCACCTCTTCTCTGGGACTGCCTTTCAAGTATTGGAACATGCCTAATCTTTCTCTCTGTTAAGCTAAACACATCTAGGTTCCCTTTGTTGCTCCTCCAAAGATTTAGTCTCCAAACCCCTTATAATATTTGCTGCTCTCTGTTCTTTTTCTAGGGCCTCAGCATCTTTTTTGTATAGTGGTGATCAGAATTTGACTCAACATTCCAACTGTGGTCTACTAACACAATATAGAGCAGTACTATCATTTCTTGTGATCTTGATGCTATCCCTCTGTTGATGCAGCCTGGAATTGTGTTGGCTTTGACAACTGCAATACATTGCTGGTTTATGGTTCACCAGAAAACCTAGATCTCTCTCAAAATTACTACTGTTGAACCAGGTATTGTCTATTCTGCACCCATGCATTTATTTTTTCCTGCCTAAGTGCAGGACCTTGTTTTTCGCTCCACTGAATTGCATCTTGGTGGATACGGTCCAATGCTCAACTATTAAGATCCTTCTGAATTTTGAGTCTACCATCCAAAATATTAAAAATTCTCCCCATCTGCAAATATGATGAGTGCCCCTACAATCCTTTCATCTAAGGAATTTATGAGGATGTTGAAAAGTACTTAAGGTACTCAACAGCAGAATCTTGAGATACTTCATATATGCATGGATGCATGCACACACACATGTACATACACATAGTCAACTTATAACAGTTAGTTTAGTGACCAAAGTTATGATTGAAAAAAGTGACATGACCACTTTCATACTTGTGACCATTGTAGAATCCCCATGTTTATGTGATCAAAATTCAGATACTTGGCAACTGGTTCATATTTATGATGGTTGTAGTATCCTGGGGTCATGTGATCATCTTTTGCGACCTTCTGACAAGCAAAGGCAATAGGGAAACCAGTCACTTAACAACCATATTACTAACTTAACCACTGTAATGATTCACTTAAAAGCTGTGGCAAGAAAGGTTGTAAAATGGGGCAAAGGTCATTAACTGTCTCACTTGGCAATAGAAATCCTAGTCATAAATTGAGGATTACCTACACATACACATATATATTCAAGCTATAGAAGTAGTTATTTTATACTACTAGTATTTTATCTATGCTAATTACACAATCATCTAGTTCAAGGCTTTTCAACCAGTGCTACGGGTACCACCTGTGGTATATTGGCACCTAGCAGGTTGTATGTGACCATCCTAGAAAAGTGGTAGCGGGGGGAGGGGAATGAGCTGAACTGGTGGCAGCACCACACAAGCCTGAGCGAGAGATGGCTGGAATTGCAGGGCTGTCAGAGCTCAGTGGAAACAACAGAATCAGTGCCGCTTTCCAGCTCATCGGTGCTTCTTCGGGGCTGTCAGAGCTCAGTGGAAGCGCCAGGATCAGTGCCAGGGTCCAGCTGGAGCTTGGCGCTGATCCTGGTTCTTCTGCTGAACCCAGAAGAAGCATCGATCAGCTGGAATGTTGCAGCATTTCCAGGATCTTGTGATTTACATTCAGATGCTTGGCAACTGATTCATATTTATGACGGTCAGTGTCCCCGGGTCATGTGAAGTGACCAAAACCTGCTGCATCCACCCAGCAGACGGGGGGAATAAAAACCAACCCCCCCCACCCCACTACCAATTCTCAACAGAAATGCTCACAACAATGAAAACCTCAGACAGGAGAAAGAGCACCGCTGGGTGAGCAGGCAGGTGTCTTGCTTGGCTGTGGCTTGGGGGGCACTTTTTTCAGTGCCACTGTAACTTCAAATAGTCACTAAGCAAACTGTTATAAGTCAAGGAGTACCTGAACTTTATCACATTTTTCCTTTTTTTTTTTTTTTTTGGTCATCAGGTTTTTGACACCTTGCTGGGCTACTGGTGGTAGTCGGATGTTGCCATATCCTAAAAGTGGTACAATGGGTGAAAAGGTTGAAAAGCCCTGATCTAGATCAGGCATGTCAAACTCGTGACGTATCTGAGCTTTTTCTCCATTGCCGGCAATGGGATGGGTGCAATTTTGGGATGATGTGTCCAGACCATGGGCCGGCAGTTTGACACCCCTGATTTAGATATTGCAGATTCCACCTTCTGATTTAAAAGAATTCTACATATATGGGCTTTCTTATAGTACTCATCTACAAAATGCCTTCATCTAATTGAATTGATCTAAATAAAATTTAACATTTCAATTTCTGCTTTTATTCTGGATTAGTTACAAATTATGCAAATGATCAGCAGTATTGAATGTTTCAGTGAAAATATTACTTTGGAATGCAATGCCTTCAGATTTTCCAATTTACGAGAAAAAAATCTTGTTAGAATGAAAAGTTCCAAATGAGTCTACATTATCTGCTATCAGATAATTTAAACTGTGATGTTCTGGTTTTTAAATGTGCTATCAATCCTGCTGGATTCAAGCGTAATAGAGGTTAGTAAATAGATAATATAAAAATGCTTAGAAGAGTTTTTTTGTTTCTCCAATAAAGTCAATTCAATAATATTAAATATATGATGGGATAATGTTCACTTCCTGGCAATGATGCTAAACTTGTCTCTTCTGATTCCTGACATCAATACTGATCTGGCTTGGTGAGCAAAACTGATTTAATTTTAAGTGAGCTACTACTCTCATTTCAATTTCTCCATTTGCAACATGAGAATAGTATTATGATATTGGCTATAGTTATAATTAAGGCAATGACATGTTTAACATTTTGAACACTAAAGGTGGTGTATTTTTTTTCTCAACAAAGTATTTTCATTACTATTGCTTATCACATTTTGTAAAAAGCATCCATTATGTTTCAACTTGCTATGCATGTGCCAAATTTCTTCAGATTCTTGTCAATGTTCTATTATATTAAGATATAAGATATTCAATGAAATAATATACAGCTGCTTCTATTAAGACAAGCAAGAATCAATATCCACCAGCAAGCATGTGCCTCCACTCTTATCTGAAAATATTTATCATTATCTATGATGTTCTACTTATATTTCTTACCAAGCTATCAGGTAACACTCCTCCAACTTTTTCTCTGTCCTATCACATGGAAGAAACCTTTAAGCCTAACAGTTGCATAAACAGCTTATTTTAAGCAAATATTTAACAGAATCAAACGCAATATAAACTTTAGCCTATCAGAATGTAAAAACGAATCTTTTCCAAAACAAGTTGTACTTTTTCCCGCAGCACCCTATGCAATATTAACTTAATTTTCCTTTAATGGATTGATAATAAAGTGGCCTCAGGTTGTAGGCGCATGTATAGTTCATATTCTAAATTTCTATAAACTCAACAAGACACTCTGCTGTTTTAATTTCAGCGCATGTAGACAAGACTCTCTCTTATCACTGTCATGCAGCAGGGATTAAAGAAGGAAATCCTACTGTTAATAAGGCTGTTAGGAAGGCTTCCCGGCATGAGCAAGAAAAATCTTTCTCCACTATGTCTCCTCTTCCTCATGGCCTTGTGACATCCCGCTCCCTATCCCTGGGGGGAAAAAGGCCCAGACCAGAAGATGCGCCAACCTCTGACAGTCTTTCCATTCTCTTCCCACGTCTTCTCTGATCCCTCCGTGTCATCACTAGGCCGCGGCGGACAGCCCTCGAGGACTCAAATCGACCAAACGAGCACTATACCAATAATTCCTTTATCCACAGAGGGAAATTCAGCCCCCCTCTGAGAGAGGGGGCGCGGGCTGAGCTCGGGCAGCCGACTCCCCTTAGATCACCCATTCGTCCCTCACCTTTGCGCAGTTCGCGCTCCCAGACGGTGACAATGAGCGGTGAATGTTTTCGGTGATGGATGAGCCACAGGCTCAGTGTCTGGACACTTTGCTGAGAATTGCTTAGCTCCGACAATTTCCTCTCCAGCGCCGATTCTGAGAAAGCAGACATAGCCGCTCTATCCTTTCCCCCAGTTTCGGATCTTAAATTGAATGAACGTTGCGATAAGCCGATCGCGTACGCTGACGTACCTCAAACAAAATGGCGGCTAGTCTGTAGAGCCGCAGGGGTACGCCTTTTGCGCAACGTCACTAAGCGAGACCTATACTACAGAGAATTATAAAAATAGAGATACCATAATCCGTTTTAAAAAACTCCAGTTCCAAAAAAGGGAGCGTGGCCTGTTAGAGTTTTCTTAAGTATGGTAAACCGAATTGCACAAAAACATAGCTTTCAAAAGGAATCAGAACACACACATGAACAGCGATTTTCTCATTGCAGCTGTTTTGTTTTGGCCTTCCTTCTGAACTTTACAAATTATCCTGAATTCTGCACTAACTTTTTTTTTTAATAGAATAGAACTGGAAGAGACCTTGGGAGTCTTCTAGTCCAGCCCCCCCCCCCCACTCAAGCAGGAGAACCTATACTAGGGGTCTGTAACCTTAAACACTCAGAGCCACTTGGACCGGTTTCCCAAAGAAAACAAAACACTGGGAGCTGCAAAACTTGTGCTTGCAGGCATGCGTACACACAAGGGGTGGAGACCTTGATTGAAGAGTTTAATTAAAAAGAAATAGAGGCTGCTGTGCCTCTCTCTTTCTCTCTTTCCTCTCTCTTTTTCTCCTCCCTCTCTTCCCCCCTTTCTCTTTCCTCTCTCTTTTTCTCTCCCTCTTTCTCTTTCCTCTCTCTCTCCCTTTCCTCCCCCTTTCCCTCTCTTTTTCTCTCCTCTCTCTCCCTCCCTCTCTTTCTCTTTTCTCTCTTTCTCTTTCCTCTCCCTCTCTTTCTCCCTCTCTCTCTTTCTCTCTTTCCCCCCTCTTTCTTCTCTCCTTTTCTCTTTCCTCTCTCTCTCTCTCATCTCTTTTTCTTTCCTCCCCCTCTCTCTTTCCTCCCCCTCTTTCCCTCTCTCTCTTTTACTCTTTCTCTCCCTCTCTCTCCCATCCTCTCTTTCCCTCTTTCTTTCCTCTCTCTCTCTCTCTTCCCTCTCCCCCTCTCTCTCTTTCTTCTCCTTCTTTCCTCTCCCTTTCTCTCTCTCTTTCCTCTCTCTTTCTCTTTCCTCCCTCTCCCTCTCTCTCTTTCCTCTCCCACTCTCTCCCCCTTCCCCCCTCTCTCTTTCTTGCTCTCTCTCTTTCTTCTCTCCCTCTCTCCCCCCTCCCTCTGTCTGATCTTCTGCTCACCTGGCAAACTGGCTTCAGGCTCTTCTCCAGCAAGCTGACACACATTATTGGGCTGGCTCTCTCCTACCCTTCCTGCTTCCTGCAGAGATGCAGCAAAGGGAGGAGCCCTGCCTAATAAGCTTGTTGGAACAGCATGAGGCCACTTTCTTTTTTACACACACACTCACAGAGAGAGAGAGAGAGAGAGAGAGAGAGAGAGAGAGAGAGAGAGAGAGAGAGAGAGAGAAGGGAAGGGAAGTAGGGAAGCACAAGTGGCAGAGGAGGCTGGGAGCTGCAGGAGAAGGCTCAAAGAGCCACACGCAGCTCCGGAGCCACAGGTTGCCAACCGGTGACCTATACCATCTCAGATAAATGGCTGTCTAGCCTCTTCTTAAAAATCTCCATGATGGAGTGCCCACGATTTCTGGAGGCAAGTTGTTCCACAGGTTAATTGTCCTCACTGAAAGGAAGTTTCTCCTTAATTCTAGATTGCTTCTCTCTTTGTTCAGTTTCCAACCATTGTTTCTTGTCCTGCCCTCTAGTGCTTTGGTGAATAATGTGACCCTCTCTTTTTTGTGGCAGCCCCTGCTATTATGTTTCCCCTATTTCTTATTTTCATTAGACTACCCAGACCCAAGTCCTGCAGCCATTCTTCATATATTTTAGTCTCCAGGTCTTTGACTATCTTAGTTGCTCTTCTCTGAATTTTTTCCAAATTTTCAAACTATTTTTGGTTATATGGTGACTAAAATTGGCTGCAGTATTCCAGGTATGGTCTTACTAGGGTTTTATAAAGCAGTACTAATACTTCATGTGATTTTGATTCTATGCCTCTGTTTATACAACCCAGGATTTTATTAGCTTTTTTGGCTGCTGCTGCACATTGCTGACTCATAGTCAAGTGATCATCACTAGGATTCCAAGGTGCCTCTCACAGTTACTGTTTTTGAGCCAGGTCTCGCCTAGTCTGTACTTGTGCCTTTGATTTTTCCTGCCTAAATGTAAAACTTTGCTTTTCTCCACATTGAAACTCATTTTGTTGGACAAAATGCCATTTTGTTGTTCAAGTTTGTCGAGGTCTTTTTGGATCCTGAGTTTGTCTTCTGGGGTGTTGGTTACTCCTATCAGTTTGGTGTCATCCCCTTCAATTCCCTCATCAAACATATTGAAGAGTGCTGGACCTAAGATGGAACCTTGTGGTACCCCACTGCTTACTTTTCTTCACGTGGATGTAATGTCATTGAGGACTACTCATTGAATACAGTTTGCCAGCCAGCTACAGATCCATCTGGTGGTGATGTTGTCTATTCCATCTTTTTCTAGCTTACCAAGGAGTAGATTGTGGTCTACCTTATCAAATGCCTTACTGAAGTCTAAATATACTACATTGACCATATTTCACTGGTCTATTAAGTTTAGTCACTTCATCGAAGAATGAAATAAGATTGATTTGGCATGATCTGTTTTTGACAAAACCATGCTGGCTATTAATTATAACTTTGTTTGCTTCTAGTTGTTCGCAGACCTGTTTTTTTTTATTATTTTTTCCAGGATATTCCCAGGTATTGATGTTAAACTGATTGGTCTGTAGTTTCCTGGGTCCATTTTTTCTCCTTTTTTGAAGATGGGAACCAATCAGCCTTTTTCCAATCCTCAGATATTTCCCCAATGCTCCAGGATTTTTGAAAGATATGTGCAATGGTCCTGAGATAACATCTGCCAGTTCCTTCAGAACTCTGGGATGTAATCTGTCAGGTCCCAGTATTTTATATTCGTCAAGATTGGATAGATGTTCTCTTACCATTTTCTTGCTTATTTTAATTTTTTTTCTAGTTTATCTTTTTCAGTGGTTTTTTTGATATGTTGGGTTATAGTTTCTTTTTGTGTGAAGACTGATGCAAAGTATGAGTTAAGCAGCTCTGCTTTCTCCCTGTTGCCTGTTATTTCCTTGCCATCTTCTCTCTTTAGTGACCTACCGTTTCCTTGATTTTTTGTTGTTAATATATTGGAAGAAACTTTTTTTTATTATCCTTGATTTCTGTTGCAAGTCTTTGCTCATTCTGAGCCTTTACTTTCCTGACTTCATTTTTGTATGTTCTGGCTGTCTGCTGATAATCGGCCTTAGTTATGTGCCCCTCTTTCCATTTTTTGTATCTGTCCTTTTTGTCTTTTTGTTTGTCAGAGAGATCTTTGTGCAGCCATGCTGGTTTCTTCTTGAATTTCTTGTTTTTCTTTTTCAGTGGTATTGTGCTGATCTGGGCTTTTATGATTACATTTTTCAGAGTTTCTCATGCTTCTTGGATTGTTTTCCCCTTTAGGATTTTCATCCATGGAATCTTTCCTAGATTCTCATTGAATTTGTTAAAATCAGTTCTTTTGAAGTTTAATACCCTGGTTGGATTGTTTTCTATTTCTATTTAATATAATGTTTGCATTATATTAAATTCCAATATGATGTGGTCACTTTCACCCAAGGTTCGGGTAATTTCAACTCCCTCTATCACTTTTTCTCTATTAGTAAGAATTAAGTCTGGTATGGCTTTATGTCTAGTTCCCTCCTCCATCTTTTGTTTTCATGGAGTATCCAGTCAGCGAAAATAGTCTTAAGATATATAAACTGACCAATAGTCTTTATTTGTGCATCCAGTAGAGACTAGCCCAATATCCCTTTAAGCATTGTAAGTGTAAGAGTCAGAAGAATGAATTTTGAAATAAGCCAGAAGTGAAAATGTCCCTGACTGCTCCTGAATTACTTCACAAACCAGTCCAGTTGTTTTGGCATTCATGGAAGAGGAGAAATGGTGCCAAGTTACCCCATCCCTACAGTTTTCAGAGGGGGAGAATCCTCTACCTCTAAGGTTGCCTGAAGAAATGATGTCATGATGTTTCTCTTTAGTGACCAATTGCTTCAGAAAAACAAAGGTGACAAAGCCTATTGCTGGCTACCAGAAAGTGTTAGTAGAGTTTTTTTTAGAAAGAAATATCTACCCATAAGGCTACTCAAGCAAAGGATTAAAATCCAGGTGTAAATGGTAAGTAAGCCAACAGAAGATACTTTTACTTACTTTGAATCTTACATTAATAGCTCTGATAAGTGCATTGGTTCCTGCTCACTTTCTCTACTCTTTTACCTCCAATAGTTAAACAGATTCAGTTCTCCAATTTAAAAGGATCTAGGCCAGGGATCTCAGACCCAAATTGCTATTTGGAAACCAGCCTACCAGTTATCAGTATATGTAAAAAAGTTTCTAGAGAGCTAAAATTAAAAGCAAAATAGCAGGGCACTAAAGGTTCCTTTTTTAAAAAAAATACCTCCACTGTGAAATAGTCACAGAGAAACCTCACTTTACCACCACGACTATATTTTGAAAAGCACCAAGCCTCATGCATTAAATTTTGAAAACTTTCCCACTTATGTTAGTAGTAAGCTGACAATTCCTAGCAATAATGGCAATCCAAAACAGGACCATTATTAAGGTGACCAACCGTCCTCCTTTAGGGAGGACAGTCCTCCTTTTGTAAGTTCTGTCCTCCTCAAAAAGTGTCCTCCTTCATGTCCTCCTTTTCGATGTTTGAAGACTAATCTGCAGGGCTTTTTTTCCCCTCATAGAACGCTCAGAACGGCGTTGTAAGGACCCACTCCACTTTGCATCTTAAGAAGACAGAACTCTTGGAATAATTCTTCCAACAGGAATCCTTTATTAAGAGAAGTGGTTGCAGGCATGCTAGACAGGACTTGGGGTTCAAGCTCTTCCATTCAAGGTTTTAAGGGGTTCCCCAGTAGTCCCACCCAATCAACCCCCCTTCCAGTGATAGTTTCAAGTATCACAATTCCACCCCTTTTCTTCTTTCTTCCGTCTGGATGGAGACTTCAGATAACTACATGAAAGGCAAATACTCTCCTTTGGTATGCTAACACTTCGAGGTTACAATAAACACACATTCAACATTCAGCCCTTTGAAGTGTACTGAAGGAAGTGAGGGCCGTAAAGCCCCTTTGTTCTCCCCCTTCTCTCCCTCTTATGGCAGAATCCAGAGATGGCAGGATTGGGAGTTTCTATATTTGATAATTAAAGATGAAATATAATTGGATTCTGACATCCGGCCCCTCTTAACAATAAGAGAGATCCACCTGAAAGAAAACATAAGTATAAAATTTAGTCAGGCTTGTTAGGATACTCTGTGTGAAACTTCTTCAATAGCTTCGGGGCTCTGACATGACGTT